GTTTTGCTACACCTCGATCTGTGTGACGGAAGCTGATTTTAAAGAGTAATGGATCTTAGGGCTAGATTCACAATGGACTTTGGCTTTTAGACATTTAAAAATCACTCAGCATAGATGAAGATGCTGGGTATGAAGTGTAAACATACCATGGAAATCTGGGCTCCTCATTTGGACAGAGCCTTGCATTTCCCTCTTGTGATGTGTGTCCTGATCTTCACTAAGATGATGGTGTAGGAAATAAGCAGAACAATTAATACTATTATGAGCAGCACTCCACCATTGAAGACCATCTGCAGTTTTGCCATGTGGGTGTCAACGCAGGCCAGTTTGATGACCTGTGAGACATCACAGTAGAAATTGTCCAGGACATTTGGACCACAGAACTGTAACTGGAGGAGCAGTCCAAGCTGAACAGCAGAGTGAGCCAATCCACCCAGCCATGCAAGCGCCACTAGCCCCATGCACACATCCTGGTTCATGATACTCAAGTACTGCAGTGGTTTATAGATGGCCACATACTGAGCGAGCGCCATTCCCACAAAACAAATTAAGTGGTAGAAGAACATCTGGAGGATGCACTCACTGAACAAGATGCTTTTACACTGGGAAAGGAGACCTGCATATTTGGAGCATTTCCTGATGATTCACTGACATCCAGGAAAGTCAAGTTCAGATTGTACATGGGGGTATGGAGCCTGTGGTTGGTGATCACGGTGGTGATGATGATGAAGTTTCCCAGCCAGGTGTTCACATAAACTATGAGGAAAACCACAAAGAGGAAGCGCTGCAACCCAGGATTCTGGGTGAGGCCCAAGAGGACAAATTCTGTCACTGGGGCGGTGAGGTTCTGCTCTTCCATTTTGTGTTCTTAAAATCTACCAAGAAAAAAAACAGAAATGTACTGATATTAAATCAGTGTTAACTCCACCTTCACAAAGGCTAGGTCTACACTACAGCGGGGTTCCGACCTAAGATACGCAACTTCAGCTACGTGAATACCGTAGCTGAAGTTGCGTATTTTAGGTCTGCTTGCCTGGCGGTGAGGACGGGGGAAAGTCGACCGCTGCCGCGCTTCCGCCGACTCCGCTGCCGCCTCTTGCCGAGGTGGATTTCCGGAGTCGACGGCAGAGCGATCAGGGATCGATTTTACCGCGTCCTCACGAGACGCGGTAAGTCGATCCCCGATAGACCGATTGCTACCCGCCGGATCGGAGGATAGTGAAGACATAGCCAAAGACACTGAATTTGGAAATTTCTTTAGTTTTCTAAATTCAACAC